GGTGGTGGTGGTAGTAGTAGTAGTAGTAGTAGTAAGTAGTAGTTTAGTTGGACAACTACATGTATAATAGAAAAATTAGTTGGTTTTTTTAGTAGCAGTGATGATATTGATGATGGTAATGACAAACAATGATTTCTGGGACGTCTTTCTGGTAACAGTGCTATAAGCCTGTCTTGGACAAATGGCCCATAGCGGTCAGAAAGTAGCACAAAGAGGTCATATCTTGTGTAAGATGTTGGAAGTCTCGAGAACAGATAGAGCACGTAACAGGAGGAGTATTGTAAGGCTTCCCAGGCTTTTGACTGCTTGCCCACCTTCAGATCTGCTTTACTGAACTGTCAATTTCTCTAAAACAAGCTCACTGAGTTGGGTTTTTTTGTGTTCTTGTGTTTAAAAAACAACAACTTTTTCTTGCCCTTCTACAGCTGACTCCTCTTGTATTGTTACATTTACTCGCTTGAGTAGATCTTCGGTTAAGTTCATCTTTTTATCGGGCCCCAGCACCTCCTCTTCTTTACAGTAAATTACTGTACACAGGTCCCAACGGTTAAGTTGAAATTCGGAGGAGTGGATCATTTTTTAAATTAAACCTCCCGGACGAGATCACCTCATCCGAGGTCGACTGTATAATGCAATATTTAAATATATATATATGCGTTGCGAATTATCTTTCTTTCTTTCTTTCTTTCTAAGCGTTGTTCATCAACTGCAGGATATAGTATCATGTAGCCCCCCAACAACGCCTTCCACTTTTTAGTCAGCTGTTTTCTGCGTAGAAGGTTGCATCCATCCTCTCCTTGATGACGTCCTGCCATCATCTTAGTTTTTCTGGTAAACCTCTAGATCTTTCTCCTGTTCTTGGTCTCCATTCCGTAGATCTGTATATTTTTTCTCTCCTTCTGTTGTCTTCATTCTACCGTGTGACCAGCCCATTTCTATTTTTGTTGTAGAGTATAAATGTGGGAACAGCTGTTTTCTATCATATTTATTTTTATGTGCTTAATTTGGTCATGTATTCTTATGTCCAGCATCTTCCCATTGCTCTTTGAGTTGCCATTAGTTTCTTCATGATGTTCCTGGTTATTGGCCAGGTTTGGCATCCACAGCTTATTGCTGAGATAATGCGTTGACTGAAGATTGTCTTTTCAGTGATATCGGCATATAGATCTATAGGTCTTTAAATATTTCTCTGCATTTTCCAAAACAACGCCAAGACATGAATGCATTCTTCTGTTCAGTTCCTTTCTTATAGTTCGCTCCATGTTTATTGTTGGCCATAGATAGTTAAGATAGGCATACAATATAATGTATTTAATATTCCGTCACTTTTTCAATATTCTTGTTTTCTATGGCAATCGTTTTGTCACTGGTGTAGTTCGTCATATACATGTACTTTACCTTTGTAGATTTTAAAGCCTACTGTTTTGCATTCTTTTATTTATTAATCACATTTAGGGTAATTTCCATTAAAATTTGTTCTTCATTTTCTGTGCAGAGTAAGATAAGATAAGATAAGATAAGATAGTGCTTTATTATCCCAGAGGGAAATTTTCCTTGGCTGTACAGGACCATAAAAACACATGCAGGTATACATTAAAAAAATTTAAATCATATATATTACTCTCATTAAAATTCAATATGAAAGGATAAGTAAGGCTGACAAAATGTACATTTACATCAAATGCATCATTCAACCACATG